ATTTGCGTTTAGATATGCTGTCATAGCTAACGGTAACTGTAAACAATAAAGTCTTGCTTAGGATAATAGACTATTTTTTCTATCCAAGATGTACGTACCGCGTACAGTAGTATACGCGTATAAGTAACAAGATTGATTTATTACTCTAAAGTCTTTCTAGATCTATAGATTAAGATATCAACGCCCAATTACCATACGACTGAAAATAACGCTACAATAGGTGATCGTATTTATAAAAATATTAAACAACCGTGGTACTAAAAACTGCTTTCGGATGAGTGGACATATCTAGTTGATGAAGTAGATCTTGCGATGCTAGTTGAAGCGATCGGACCTCTTCTTCACTGCAGAAATCTTCGATGATTAAGCATCCATCTTTATTAAACTAAAGATCAGATCATAAACAAAACAAAGTGAATTTAACATATCAACAGACCTGAAATAATCCCCGAATCACTGTACATGATTTATATAACGATCGAAAATTGGTTAAAATTTATTTATAATGCATGCTGCTCGCGAAGTGATGCCATCATGATGCCATATATGTTGCTTTTCCGTAAGAAATAGTAGACTATCGCATAATATGATACGCCTACAGTACAGCAGATATCATCAACTTGTACAGTATACTGTACATACATATTCCACATTGGATAGAATATCAAGGAGCAGATACTACTTGATAATAATGCAATAGACCATTATACCTGTCATCAGGAATAAATCAGAATTACAATTCAAGAGTACTTAATAATTAACCTTCTGAATTTGCTCGTCATTCAGACTTCCATCCATTTTGAGCGGTTTTACCTACTGTACTGGACACAAATAATAAGGGTCTCTACTGTACAGTACAGTGTACAGTACAGTACATTCCACAATTGCAATCTATTCCGTGTGCACTATGTGACAAGGGAAGACAATTACCTCATACGATGCTAGTACTCTGTGCAAAATAAGTTGTCATCGTTGCCTCTCTGACTTTATGACCACTTTTGATTATGAGGTAAAACTACTGTATGTAGGGAAATTTGTCATAGTCTGACCCGATTGATTGATGAATGCTATGGATGGACAATAAAAATTACCGAAGAAGACTCAAGGGGTGACAGCTCATTTTGCACAATACCATGGTCAGCTTGATAGTACTTTACTGTACTGTAGTGTAAGTAAAGTGTGCTGTCGGTGACTCAGTGCTTACAGTAGAAAGTAAATTTTGACTAGCTGTCTATAGTGCAGCTTGGTCATAATACTGCTACAGTATAGTACAGTCCTGATAATACACTTGCTCTCATAGAGTAGGTACACTGTACTGTACAGTCTACAGGATACAACTGCCGTTCAGTTTCAATTTTTGCAGCAATCAGCATCTAAAAACCAATCGAGGAATCAAACTTCGACGTACAAATTCAAGGCAGCCTGGTTGTTATTCAGATTTACATTGATGCACTGCACTGTAAGCTGTCTACACTTGTATAGTACAGCACACCAGTACTAGCTATTCGTCTCATATTGATGTAATAATAATAAAGAACGTCAATCATGCCGTTGTGATCACGCTAGCAATTTCAGCCGTAGTTTCTATAAATGCGAGTCCAATATCCAATATACTTGCATGTAACATACTGTATTAGCGACCTAGCAGCACAATAACGATTCGATTGATCAGCCTTTAGTCGATCGTAATGAACGATATTTTACGATATCTCTTTTATATGATTAATAACGCTTTTTCGATACAACACAATCAATTACAATCGTAGTTATTCGATTGTCTACGTTATATCCTGTAATTCATAATGTTTTACAACTGGCTAACTCTTCGCAGAGACGGGACAGGAAGCGGCCTTCAGTGCCAAATAATGTGAAGACTTATCATTTTTTCAATCATTCTGCTATACAGTACCAATGAAACCGTATGCCATACTACACAAAACCAATTTAGCAGGCTAATCGTAGCTAATTTGGATGTCAATCGTAGACAGTAGTATACGTACTATTGCAGACATGCGATACAGTTGAAATGAACCGTAAAACAATAAGTCTCTACATCATTAGTATAGTGAATGATCGCTTCCTATCTTGTCCCTTTCTTTTTAGTAGTCTCTGCTCTCAGTATACAATATCTCTTACCAGGATACTACTACTTCTAACATTTACACTCGCTAATGCATGAATACTTAATAGCATACTTCACTACATAAAGAATACAGTACCTAACGTTTATGCTTCCATCGATCTAAGTATTTAAGTGTATAACGTATCATTCTGGAAAATTTTTAGCTATGATGAAGTAATGGGGGAAGAAAACACCATTTTATTGTGCTCCCTGGTAATATTACAGTAGCCAAGCAATAACACGCCTTCTCTTTTACTTCAATATCTAAAGCCAACATTAGCACACGTACGTAGACACGTTTATGCATACATGGGTGCATAGTAGTTAAAATTAGCTAANAATTTCGCATTTCTTTCGCATAGTGTAACCTCATCTTCAGCAATACTGATAATCCATTTATTCAGCAGCATTTTTTAATAACTATCAATTAATTTTATTGTCAGCAGCGTACCACACTGTAGGTACTGTAATCCTTTGACCCTCTAATGTACTATATATATACTCGTACATATACGTTGAGGTTAATCCTGATGGTATGAAGCTACAGCACTACCGTAAGATACTTAGCCTTTCCAACAATAAATAAATACATCGATAGGATCAAAAACTTTGACGCAGCTACAGTATATTAAATATACATATTATAATATAGAATAACGTCAGAATCTAATATCGAAGTAAGCAATAGTTTATTAAAGGTATAAACCAATCGCGTGTTAATGAGTCTACGTATCTTTATACACTATAAATTTATCACAGGTTAAGAGTGAAACTAAAGTTACTTGCTATCAAAGGGAGCGTCAGAAGAGTTCATTGTATTTTAATAATAACTGATAAAGAATGCAATAGCTGCTGACTTATCAAATAGTTTAATAAATACTATCATCTACCGTAAACATATATAGTTAAATAGATCATGATAGTATGATGGATGATACGTGTCCTGGCGCTCACTTTGATGAACTATTTTATGCTACCACAGCTGATAATTACAACATGTTTATAGTACATTTACCACAATCTAAAAACTAGATCCCGGTCATTTTCAGATTCACGGCATCAGTCCAATAGATTAAACATCAGATTTCCACAATTTTATCATTTTATCGTTCTCTAACGCTGCTGAAGCAATAATGTTTTCCGTCGGATGGCATGCACACGATAATACAACATCAGAATGTCCTGAAAGTTTCTGAACTACTTCCTTCGACTGAAGATTCCAAATGTATATCATATTATCCTCTGAGCCCGAAACAATCCACTAAAGAAAAGGGTTTATCAGGATAAGAATATAGTATTAAGTCCCATGTCAAGATTTATTACCTCATCTATTAATATTGTTAAATTGCGACACACTATGCCATAGCATCTATAAAATCTATCACAAACCTTGCCACCAGTAACAGAGAAACTGGCAAAAATGCAATATTTTTCGTTTTTATGACCACGATAAGTTTTCAAGCACTAAAGTAATATATGTTTGGACAAAGATAGTAAGAATTCATTGACTAGAATAAATATTCAATTTCTTAGTCTCCATTGTCAAATCATCTCATTTTAACGACATACCTTGCCTTTACTATAATCCCATAACTTAAGTGTGCTAAATTGTTGATACAATAATACAAAATTCACGATTAATCGTTAATCGCTACAGAAATTATTAATGAAGATAACTACTCGGATTAGCCAAAGTAGTGTTGCAGTTAAAGGCTTACTTATCCAAAGTAGCGGCCAATATATATTTGCCATTAGGTGAAAATTTTACAAAAGAAACAGGAGGATTATCATCGTCTGAAATAAGAGGTGTATGTTGGTCTTTTATATTGTCAATCTTGAATTACCCTTAAACAATAATATTATCCATCCTTACCAATGATAGTTTTCAAGCATTGACCAGAAGCAGTGTCCCAAATTCGACTAGTATTCAAAATTGCAATATTAGAAAGATTGACACCAGATCGAGTAATTTCTTGTAAGAAAGAAAGATTTACATTACAGTACATACCATAATCCATCGTAACTTCCAGAAAC